TTTTGCAGCAGATTTGCCCAATGCAGTATATCGTCTAATGTCTTAACTGTTACTTCCATTGGTGTTGATTGTAGAACCAAGTAATTTGAAGTCTTTGATAATTTCAACCATTTCTCCATTTATCATGATGGTATCATAACAAAACCTAACCAAACAAAAAAATTCACTGCCATCGAGTTGATTCTGACTCATAGCAACCCCTCCTTGGGTTTCCAAGGCAGTATATCTATGGAAATAGATTGCTCAGTCTTCCTTCCAAGGAGTGACTGGTGGGTTTGAACCACCAGCCTTCTGGTTAGCAGTCATAATGCCTTGGTCACTATGCCAAATGTTTTATCCACTTACTAGATTCTTATAGATCCCAAGTGATTCTTATGTATACCTTAAGAATCACCTGGGGATCTTTTTAAAACTATAGTTTCTTAGTGTGTCTGGGGTGGAATTGCAAATTCTCAGTATGGAGGTAAACTGGAATGAACTGGTTCGAAGTCCTGGAATCAACTTGATGGCACACAACAATATCCACTTAGTAAACCATTTCACGTATCACCAGTGATTCAGAGATCACACTCTGGGAATGCCTGTGAGTTTAGAAATGAGCAGATGATCCCTGATCTAGCATGAGACAACCATGGCAAACTATCCCCATGAACAGTTGTGGGGTAGTATGGGAAATACACCATGTTAAGAGTCCACAGGCCTGGGATCCAGGCCTGGCACTACCATGTACCTAGCAACACTCAGCTATTTATTTGACCATCCCTCCCCAAGATCATCTTCTCATCTGAAGTAAGAAAATAATCATTTCTTCCTCTGTGCTATATGGAGTCACTGTGAGAGTCAAATACATGCTAAAATGCTTTAAAACAGCTGATTTGCCATTGAGTCAATTCTGACTTATGGACACCCCATGTACCCCATGTGTTGCCGAGTAGAACTGTATGTCATAGGATTTTTAAGGCTGTGACTTTTCAGAAGCAGATCATCAGATCTGTCTTCTAAGGTGTCTATGGATAGGTTTGAACTGCCAGTCTTTCAGTTAGTAGTCAAGCGCTTAACCATTTGTGCCACCCAGGGGTTCCTAAAGTGCTTAACTATAAATTGCTATACACATATAAATATTAATACCATGATGTTTTCTTGTGCCTCTGTCCTCCTGCTCTGTACCATAATTGAGCTAGCATTTTATCATTGTGGTTAAGAGCGTGTGCTGTGTTATTCAAGTGTATATGTTTAAGTATGGCTCTAACACTTACTAGCTATCAATCTCAAGTAATTTACTTAATCTCTTTAAGCCTTCAGTATCCTTGTCCATAAGATAGGGATAATACTACTATTAGTTCATAGGTTTGTTTTTTGTTTTTGTTTTAATTTTTATTGTGGTTTGGGTGAAAGTTTATAGAGGAAGTTCATTTTCCATACAGCAATTCATACACATTTTGTCTCATGACATTGACTGCAATTTCCCACAGTATAACAGCTCTCCTCCCACTTCCTCCCCATAGTTACCTCTTTCCTGTGTCCTTCCCTCTCATGCACTCCAGCCCCCTGAACTGTCTCCCTGTGCATACAGTGTCCTTCTGTTCTCCCATGATTTATTGCTCCAAGGAGTGTATCTACCTAATGTAAATGTTCAGCTCATATGCCTGTCTTTTGTTTGGCTGGAAGCCGCAGGAGTGGGTTCAATTCCAGACCTGAAGGGCATCTAAGGGCCATAGTCTCAGGGGTTCCACCAGGCTCTGTCAGACCAGCAAACCTGGTCCTTTTTTTATTTTTAATGATTTTGAGTTTTGTTCCCCATTGTTCTCCCACTTTATCCAGGATCTTCTACATAGATCTCCTTTCTGAGTGGTTGACAGTGGCAGCCAGGCACCATCTAGTTCTTCTGGTCTTATAGTCATATAGGCTGAGAATTGCCTGGTGTACCAGTCCCTTGGACTAATTATTTCCATGCATCTTTGTTTTCTTCATTATTCTTTGCTCTGGACGAGGAGAGATCCATTCTTGTATCTAGATGGCCACTTGCAAGCTTTTAAGATCTCAGTTACTACCTGCCAAAGTAGGATGTGGAACAGTGTTTTTGTGTGGTATGTTATGCCAATTGAGCTAGATGTCTCATAGGGTTATTTTGAAGATTTGATGAATTTCCATCTGGGGAAATACAGCAGCAGACTAGAATTGGGAGCAGTCAAATCAGAAGTTGGGAGCAATCATATTTTGATCATTGGAGCAGATGGGATCACATTTCCATAACCTCATATGTGTCTGGAACTGTGAGCATGTGTATATGCAAGTAGGGGGTGATAGCCCCTTCTCTGAAAACCAAAAGACCCAAACCCACTGCCACTGAGTAGATACTAACTCATAGTGGCCCCCATTGGGTTTCCAAGTCTGTAAATCTTTATGGAAGTAGATTGCCTCATCTTCCTCCCATGGAGCAGCTGGTGGTTTGAACCACCAGCCTTCTGGTTAGCATCCAGTTGCCTTAACCACTATACTACCAGAGCTCCTCTGAGTGCTCAGAAATCTCAAGCTTTCCACAAAAACTCAGTACAGAAAAGAGGAGGAAGCTGATAAGGATATGCCACCACCATACACCGGGCTTGCAGCTGAGGCAAGGACTGAGCCTGCCTTTGACCTTGTTCCTGGTGTGCTGCAAAGCATGCTGGGAGGGGCTGGCATGTGGCTGGACATCATTGGAGGGAGCAGGTGGCAGGTGTGTGTCCTCACACCAAGAAGACCAAGGCTTAGTGAGCCATTATCCCTTCTGTCTCTTTGTTGGTAGAACTGAAGGACGTGAATGAGGGGCTCTAGAATGTAGTTCCTTTACACTAGTCAACGTGGACCTCCCAGAAAAACATGGAGTGAGGTTCTCATCCACCATGAAAATGAGCAGCTGCCCAGATGCTCAGGGCCTTAAGGAAATATAAGATGGACCTCATAGAAACTGGGCCAGAAACTGAATGACCTCAGAAAAGGAATTGTAGGCTGAGCAGCTATGACTTTTTTTTCCCTTACAGAAAATGAAGGAGTACCTGGAGGGCAGGAACCTCATCACCAAGTTGCAAGCCAAGCACGACCTGCTCCAGAAAACCCTGGGAGAAAGTGAGTGTGGGAACTCTGCTGGAGGTTTGACAGAGAGGAGAAGGCTGAGCCCTGAACTTTATTGCTGAACACATGCCTCCATCATAAGCCCAGTGGGTCTGATCTTGTTAGATGAATACGTTTCTTTTCCTAGCCCATTTGATGTGGGAGCAGACGCCCCAAATGACTGCTTGAGTAATGGGCAAAGGCCAGTGCTTAATGAAGCACTAATGTACATCATCCATTTGTTTAAATGGAGCATGCCTGCTCTCCACCCAGACCTCTCCCCTGCCACAATTGGGGTGAAGGGGCTACTGGGTTATTACTCTCTCCATACTTTGTTACAACTCCCAGCTCCTCTGTGGCATGACTGAGGCTGGAGCCAGAAGGTAGGGAGCTGTGAGATGAGCTACCCAGCTGCTCTGAGAGGATTCTCAGAGGCAGGGGTGATAACCAGAGTGTGGTTTTCTGGAGCTTCAAGATTGAGTGTCGGTTCCCCTCTGCTTTGAAGGGTCCTGATGCTGGTGAAGTGGCAGTCCTCTCTCTGCTTGGGCCTGCCATGCTGAGGCCACAGTGCTGAACGGACTGTCTCATCTCATCTGGTAGAATGAGTTTAACCAGATCCTGGAAAGTAGCAAGGCAGAGAACGGGACTGGCACTCTGGACTTCCTCTCCTCAGCTGTCAAACAGAAGGAGAAGGTTAAAACAGAAGTTTCCCTGTTTTTTTTTTTTTTTGGCACCCTGCCCAGGTCTCCTGCCTAGCTCTCAGCATCCTGTGATTAATGGGATTTCCAGGTTGGGGATTCCTCCTCCCTGCCCTGCTAATCTCCTGACTTAAAGATGGGGAAGGAGGGCAATAGGGAATATGTAGTAACATCAGTGAAAGGCAAACCTGCACTCACACAGAGGTCTAATGTCATATAAATTCTCAAGCACTCTTAAGGGAAACTTCAGGGTATAGCCAAGTGTGCAGTACTCACCGGATCATTAGCCCCAGAAATCGGAGTTCCTCTTTTCATGCCAGAGCCTCCTACCCACCCTTCTCCCGTCCTGGACAAGCCCCCCGATGATTAATTCCTTTTCTTCCAAAGTCTTTGAGCTTGTCACTTTCAAGGCATTTTCTTTTAGGTAGAGAAAGTCCATTAGGTAAGCCCCTGTTTTCTTTCCTCCCCACCACCCAAGGCACTCAGGGTGAACAGTCAGGCTGAACAGGTTTGGGCATTGAGGTCCAAACTTTGCTTATAGAAAATCTTTACTCTTGGGTTATCAGACTACTCTGTGGGGAATTGGAAGAAAGCCCAGAACTATTTGAAGCAAGTTATAGCTGTGATTTCTTTTTGTCAAGAAAATCTAAGCATAGTCTATAAGTAGCCTGGGAGCAGGGCCTCAGGACACGCGTGCACACACGCATACAAGCACACACCGCTATGAAGGGGCGAATGTTGGTGACCATTCATTTGCACTGCAAATTGCCTTAATCGAAAGATGACAAGTTCCAGCAATAAGGGGAAAAAAATCACTGCAGATCTCCTATGTGCAAGTCATCCTGTCCCCGCCTTCTGTATGCATTTGTCATCATAATGCAAGAGCCCCTTGTTCTTGCCGCAGAGGGATAATTGATGTGTGTGAATATTCCAGAATGGAAATGGGACAGATGTTGAAAATAATAGCTCAGAATAATATTTTTGCAGATGAAAGCTGAGCCTTTGGTAGTGAAAAGCTGTTGGGGCCAGGGGAGGGTGTTGTTCGGGATGAGCTGAACTGTAATCAACAATTAGCAACCTTTAAAGGCAAAGAAAAAGCCTAGGTCCTCCCCCAGCCACCCCTGCTCTGTGGGGTTGCCTTTTCAGGAGCTTGGATAAGGAAGCTTGGGAGCTAATCTCTCCTTCCCCAGCTCCGCCTTGCATAGGTTTTTCCCTAGCCATCTAATATAGATCTAATACAGATTAAGCTCCACTGACCATGAACCTATGGAAAGCAACATATTTTACATCACGGCTCTTGTACGCATGCATATGTATTTAAAAAAAAAAAAAAAGAATATGTCTTATCAATTTTCATGCTCTCTATTCCATTTTTTAAAGCTGGTTGTGACCCATTTTATTTCATATTCAGGCTAACTATTGAGTTGAAAAACACTGTTTGAAGCAGTATCAGCATTAAATCTCAGCTATTTGCCATCCAACCCAACCTAATAGGAGAATTTAGTCTGAATCTAAAGCTAAAACCTACGTATATTCTATATCCCCGCCCCCAAACAACTCCTTCTTTCTTTATTCCAGCTGTGTACATGTTAGCCTGTGTGTGTTTTCTTTTCATACACTCAGGAGCAAGCAAGCTTGTCTCTCCCTGCCTACCACACGCATATCCCACATACATGTATACAAATGAGAAGCTAAATTTCATCTCCAGGAAGAGTTCTAATAATTCGGTCTCTAAAACATGATCTGCCTTCTTGTTTGTTACTCCGTCACCACTACCACCACCACCACCACCACCCCACTTTCCCACTGGAAAGCAGAGTTGTCATCCCTGAATACTGGGGATACTGGGCTGGGAATCAGCATCAGAAACAGAACTGGCTCTGACAGAGGCTGTGTGCTTCTCCATTTTTGCCACCTGAAACACCCGACACATTGTTATACTAGTGGTTTTTTACTGACTCATGGCAACCTTACATGTGTCAGAGTAGAACTGTACTCCATAGAGTTTTTGATGGTTCGTTTTTAGGAACTAGATCACCAGGCCTTTCTTCTGAGGCACCTCTGCATGGACTTGAACCCCCAACCTTTTGGTTAGCAACAAAGGCCACCCAGGGACTCTTTTCACCACCCAGGGACTCTGGGAAGTCAGGCCAAACCAAACCACTGTCCTTGAGCCAATCCTGACTCTTAACAACCCTATAGGGCAGAGTAGGAGTAGGGCAGGGCATGATAATTCCTAGGAGCAGATCTCCCTCATTCAATATGTGCCTTTTGCCTTTTTCTTCCCAACAGGTCAGCGGACAGATTGCAGCCTGGCCAGGTAGGTGTGGCCTGGGCAGCCCTGGGAAGGGATGACGAGAGGAGAGGACCGTGGGTAGAGCGATTCCAGCCTGGGAAGAAGCCAAGGAGTTGAGTTGTGAAGGGTTTCAATGACTTTGTGAAGGAGTGGCCTAGGATGGTGTTGCTTCTTTCCTTCTGCCTTGCTGACCCCATCTGGTCTCAAATGGAAATAGGATGTGCTATGAGCTGAGCACAACTGAGGAACGGTGTTACTACTTGCTGAAATAGTCCCTGAGACGGTTTCATTACACTACAAGAGAAATAAATGCTTGACTCTAGAAGAATCTGGTAATCGAACCTTAGTTGCTAGACTTCAACATGTGGACTTTGGGGAGTCTCTGACCCAGAGAAGGCAAATGAGGAAATAGCATTTGAGCTGAGATTTTTTTTTAGTGCATGGAAATGGTGACAGGCCCTAATTAGTGACTACTGCTGCATAATGAAATACTACATCACGTTGGCTTGCCAAGCAACGTTAGTAGAAATCCTTGCCCGATGAACAAGTATGCAACCCTCCCAATCTTTTCCCACCTTCCCCTCCCTCCCTTACCCAGCCAAATATTTTTCCCTCCCAGTCACTGTGCTGCTATGAGAAAACTCTGTGAACTGGCAAAGAGCAAAGCATTCATGCAGCCAACAGTTCTCAGATGCCTAAAAATGTGCTGATTTAACTGAGGAAAGAGCTCTAATGGGCTGGACTCCTTTGAGACCCTGGGGTTAGACCATTATATCAACCACTTGTATCTGCCAACACACACAATAATCATGAGGCCATTTACAATTATAGGCTCATTATTTAGAAATAGCTTCATATGGCTTTCATCGTTTTGTCCTTGTGGATTATAATAAAGATCCCATTAATATACCAGTCTTGATGACTAGAAGAAACCTGAATAATAGAATTCCATGGAATATATCTTCTTGGTGATAGTCTTAATATAAGTTCATCTAAAGCCCTATATCTGCTGAGGACCCTCTGAAAATTAGAAGAGCTGAGTTGAATTCCCTGTTACTATGTGACCTTGGCCTATTCTCTTCCCCTCTCTGAGCTCCAGTTTCCTCAGCTATAAGACAAGAGAATTACACTAGATCTGAGGAGCCCTGGGGTTGCACAGAGGTTCCTCAGGAGTGGTCTGGTGGAAAGGCGGAGGAAGGCCCAGTAACCAAGCTCTGGTCCCGGCCTGCACTCAAAGCTGGGCAGCACTGCTTTGGGTATTGTCCCTCTGATTTAGATTCCCTTTGAGAAAAGGCTTTTGAAGCTAAACTCGGCTTGAAAAAGCATCGAGCTAGTGGATCGCCAAAATTCCTTCCAGCTTGAGTACTCTACCTTCTAAATTTAAGAAAATTGCTCCCTGTCTTTTTCCTCAGGAAGAAAATAAAACTATAGCTTCCTTTAGTGTTTGCCACTGTTTCCTTACATATAGGAGGATCTTATTGTCTAATCTGAATGTACCTTACTGCAAATTGAACCAGTTTCCTCCTGTTCTAATTTTGAATGGTGGTATCTCTGCGCTTGTATGAAGGGAGGAGCTTTATTGGAAAAGTAAACTCACAAGACTTTTTAGCCGTTTCTGAGTCTGAGTGGAACAATGTGATTTCTTTCATCAACCACCAAATGATTTTTTAATTATTAAAAAGATATTTTACTTCTGAGTTTCAGAGTGGTTGCTTATCTCATTCTGTCCCCTCTCTTTTCCTCCCTGTTTCTGGATCGGTATTCTGATTCGGCGGGGTCAACTGCAGGCGTAGCTCAACTGTGAGGAAACAGGTAAGGACCAAGAAAGAGTCCACTGATCTGGTTTTAGAGTCAGTTGTATCCTGCACATGTTGGAGGAACTCTGCTCTGAGTAGGATGGGTGCTTTTCTGACTTCATACCTAAGTTTGGAATGTTCCATTCAGTCATAGTATGTTTAATATTATAGCAACATCTTCCTGTGTACTAGGGATTGGTTTTGATGGTGGCAGATTGTGCCAGAACTGCTCGTGGTGTCACCTCCAGAGACCACACGATAACCTCACACCTCCTACATCTTTATCAGTATGTCAGTGTCTCACAGCAGCTAACACCTGAACTGGGCAGTCTTGTTTTAAGTTTGCAGATGTTTGTTTGCTTATTTGTTTGTCTCTGGTGCTGTGGTCATTCTAGATGTATTCTTAACACATGTTAAATATGCAGAGGGAAGTCTGCTATAGGGGTAGCAGGCAGGAGCTGTTAAAGTCTGCAATTTTACACATGATCTTCAGTATTATAATAAATTTTGACCCTGGATAGCCAGCTCTCATTACCCATATTAGGAGGGATTTAGCAATAGCATGGATAATCCACATCAATGGATAATCTAAACAGCACTTGTGGCTTGTTCACAAAAAAAAAAAAAAAAAATTAATTGAAGTATTTTTTTGCAGTAGCAGATTTGACTTCTAATTATACTTTATGGAGAATACTGGAATGATTTTGTGCCCCCTAAGCTCAAAGCAGCTAAGCAGTAGGCAGTTAGCAGGGAGCAGGTGGAAAGAACTTGAAAATATTTTTGTGTCTACCAGAAGAAAGCTGATTGAGCCTTTAAAAAATCATCTTGGATAATTCACAGTGGCTCTGGCCATAGGGAGATAATCAAACGTAGGGGACAAGAGGTTTCTGTGGTGTCAGCAACTCCAGCAGCCTTCAGCTGACGTGGCTGCTCAGGCTGGGAGGGCACTCCAGCTGGGGAACTGGGATGGCGTAGACTCCACTTCGCTTAGCTTTGCTGTAGCTATTTCTTTTTCCCTTCTGCAGATTAGTGAGAATGCCATCTGATGGAATTACACATTTTTTACATCACAAAAATTTCATGGTAACTCTCCATCCTCTATTTCTTTCTTCTTCCCCTTTTTCCCTTAATTTCATTTAAAACTAGAGAGGAATGGAGTGCCTGCCAGATAGAAATTATTGAATTTAGAATTAAGAGTTAGAGTATCTGAAAGATAAAGCAAGCCTTTTTCCCTCTTCCACAAAGAACAGAATTGGACTTGAAGTTGGTTCCTTTCAGTTCCTGGACTGAAACAGGGCCTTCTGGTTTTAGATGGGGCATATGTATGAATGTTTTGCAGCTCTGCTCTGGCTGTAGGAGTGCAGAGACCATGGTTGGAGGAGGAGAGCCTGTTAGCTCGGGCTGACAGGGGGCATGCTTCCCTGATTGGGCTTGCCATGGGAAGGGACTGGCACCCATCTGGTTTGCATCCTGCTGCGCCTAAGCAATTGGAGGCAAAGTGTATTTGCCTGGTGCCAGATTTGCGTAGGGAGCTCTAGTGGCATAGTGCCTAAGGCATTTGACTGCTAACCAGAAGGCTGGTGGTTCAAACCCACCAGCCACTCCTTGGAAGATTGGGCAATTTACTTCCATAGAGAAACCACCTTGGAAACCCAAGGAGGGGTCGCTATGAGTCAAACCAACTTGAAAGCAGTGAATTTGGTTTGGAGATTTGCATAGGAATTCCAAGATACACCAAATCTCTCCATCAAATAAAGACCTTGTTTTCATTCTGTTGCTCCACTTTCTCTCTAGTAGCTCATATTTGATGGTAGATCACCAGAGAGTTTTCCTCAGATATACAGGTGGGTAGAAAAGATTTGGGAAATTAGTAATCTCGTGTAAATAATCAGGAAATAAATGTTTCCTTGTTTATGGCCATTCAGCCAAACAAGAGGAAGGGTCTGATAACTTCTATTTTTGAAGATTCCTGATGGGTTCCAGTCATTTCTGACCCTAGCAAAGACTAGGTTTAAACCATCCCAGTTCTTAAAAATGAAACACCTGGATTGTTGCTTCTAGGCCTTCCCTGTTCCCTTCAAGTTCCAGTGTTTTCTCCCTCCCAGTTACTACTTTCATATTTACTTTGTGGATCCTTCTTTCTCCATCCCTCTAAATTTAGGCATTATTCCAAAGCTTGGCCCTCTCTTGACTTCTCTTCGTATTATTTGCCTTGTCTGTTGTATTTCCTTAGATAAATCTTTTTTCCTTCCTTTAACGTTCTTTTTCTCTATAATGCTGTCACTCTAAGCCTTTGGATCTCATTCCCAACTGACTGGACATTTATGCTTGAAAGTTGAGAGAGCACCATCTACTCTTGACATCAGTTTCTTCACCTTCTCCCTCCACATATAACTTCTTTAGCACCACCCCTAACTTCTCTGTTTCTGTTCATGGGGACCTCCCCCATCTTCACAGTCCCTGAAGCCCCAAATCTTATATCTGATCTCTCTTTTTTTTACATCACCCACATGTAATGACTTGTCAAGATTTGTACTTTCTCCCTTAGTAAAAATAGAAATCTAGCAAGTAGAGACTAGTCCATGACAAAAACCCTACCCCTCTCAATCATGAGAATTATGCCAAATAATTGCATACTGTGGCATTATCTGGGTGCTTCATGATTGCTTTCTACTGAAGACCACTGGAGCCTGCTTTACTGTATTTTTCATGTCATGCCTGCTGCTCTTCCCACTTTTGGTTTGTTGTCGATCAGCCTGACTCATGGTGACCCCATGTGCAGGAGAATGAAATACTACCCAGTCCTGCCCAGTCAGTTGCGGGTCAGAATAGTGTGATCCATAGAGTTTTTATTGGCTGATTTTCAGAAGTTGATCACCAGGGCTTTCTTCCTAGTTTGTCTTAGTCTAGAAGCTCTGCTGAAACCTGTTCAGCATCATAAAGACCCACAATCCACTGATGGGTGGTGGCTGCATGTGAGGTATGTTGTCTGGGAATTGAACCCAGTTCTCCTGCATAGAAGGCAAGAATTCTACCACTGAAGTACTGTTACTCTTCATCTGAACGCATGGAAATCTGGCCTAATTGTTCTTAAAGGCCCCTACCAACTCTAAAATTATATGATGAAAAATTGAATTAAACTGACATAGATTCTACATTGGGGGAGACAGACAGAGGGGGAGTGACAGACACTGAGTAAAAACACATTGAGAAATTGCTCTGTCAGGCAAAGTGGATGGTGAGCTGTAGGTCACTGGGGACACCACAGAAGCACGTCCTAGGGGAAAGCATTAATTTAGAGCTTAGAAACATCACACAGAGGGAGGAGAATAATAGGAGGGTTGGGCACCTGATGACTCTGTCCAGTTTTTGCTTCCACTGGACTCTACCTTAGGTTCCATTGGAGCAGGGAGCCAGGAACTTGCTCTTCTTCTATAGTAAGACAGAACTTCTCAGTCTACCCTACCTGCCACAGATTACCCTCTGGGACCTTCTGTCATACTATTGGTAACTATGGACATGCTACTTCCTGCCAACAGCCCTACATACTCCCCCCTTAAAAACCATTAATACTCCATTTCTTGCAAGTCCAGGCACAATTTTGCTCTCATGTAACTTGTTGAAACCAATGACCTGTGAGCTTCCCAGTCTACCCTCTTCTGGATCTTTGTACAATAAGTCTCCAGGTTACAAACATATGACTTATCAACAACTCTTATTTGCCTTTCAATGTTATTTAAATTTGCCCTCACTCTGAAACAATTGCACCAAGCCCTATTCATAAAAATTCTTCATCACAGTCACCTTCACTTGCTGTAGGTACAGTTTTTAAATCATGGGAAAGGCTTCAAGCTTTTTCTTGCACTAAAGTAAAGCTAAATATGAACCATATGTACCTGTTCCAACTTACCTACAAATTCGACTTAAAGACACATTTAGGAATAGATCTCATTAATAACCAGGGACGGCCTGTATATAAATCTGGGGACAGGAAAGCATTACGAAAAATCTTCATGTTGCCATCAGCATTGTGGCTGCTATTAACTGTAAATGAAAAACATAATAACGTCTGTAAACATAAGTACATTTCCAAACAAGTGGGGCTTTTGTTTTTCTTACAGTGGAACTCAGTTTTTTCATGCTAGCAGGGGGTGAGGACCAGGAGTCTTCTTCCCAGATCACCCGAGGCCAGTTGACGAAGTAGTGATGCTGATGCAAGGGCAGGTGCTGGCCACCATGGCTGGAAAGCTGGAGGAGGCATATGGGTTCAGGGGTCATGAGGATGAGCATTTGGGTCATCAGGACCTTCTTAACTCCAGCCCTGCCTTGGCACATGCGAAATCCCTTTGGCAGCATGCCTGGTTCCCAGCAAGCTTGGGAGCTAGAGGCCGAGCCAGACCTTCTCTCAGCCTGACTTCTTCATGAAGCCCAGCTGCTTCCCTAATAGTGGCCAAACCCCATGGCTACAGTTGAAAATTCACAGCCAGGTCACAGGCAGACTTGTGAAATGGGCAGAACACCCCTATCCCACTTGATATTCCAATCTCTATCCTGCATATTTAAAATCCTTTCTATGTTCCAGTAAGTTCAGTGCCCCTTGCCTGATTTCCTTGTTCTCCAGGGCTGAATTATTGTGCATTTAGCTGCCTTTTAATAATAGTCTACTAGATTTCAGTAGTATTTGGTATAACATTGAGCTTTATTTGTCAGGGTCTTAAGGATGCAGTGTGGGTGGTGCTAAAGTGTTCATGCTTAGAGAGACACTACCTAGGTTTGAGTCCTGGCTCTGCTACTTATCGTCTGTGTGACAACAAGCAGCTCTTTAACTTCTTTAAGCCTTTGTTTCCTCATTTGTAAAATGAGGATAATAGAATATACACCACTGGGTCATTGCCAGGATCAGTCTATCTAACCAAAAAAAAAAAAAAAAACCAAACTCAAGACCATCAAGACAGATCTGACTTATAGCGACTACTTGGATTTCTGAGGCGGTATCTCTACAGAAGTAGATTGCCCAAACTTCCTTCAGAGGAGTATGGCCAATACGTCCATAAATTCCTCTGTAAATAGTAAGCACTAATTTTCATGTACCAGTAGGAAATACTACTCTCCTCACTACCAACTTTCTCTTCAGTTTGTAGACAGAAAATCAAGGCCCAGAGAAGTCAGATGACTTGAGCAGGGTCATATTACAAAATGGTAGAGCAAACATTGACACTGGGGTGGCCTGCTTCTTTGCTTAGCACCAATTAGTCTCCTCTGTTTCCATGGGTGCTTTTTAGGTTTTTGTTTGTTTGTTTTTTCCCTTTCTTCCCTACCTTTCATGCCAAGCAAACTCCCTATCTGAAGCTCCCCTTGGCTCATTCTGCTGCCTTCAGTGGCTATTAATTGAGCACCTACTATGTGAGACGTATGGCCAGCCTTGGGCACCTGAGAACTGACATGGACCAGACCTGCTCTTGTAGAGTTTAGCTATAATGGTGGCAAATGCAAACATCTCCATCCACACAATTAATTAACACCATGATAAGGTTGTGAGACAAAGTGCAGGGTACTAAGGGCCAGTAGACAGGGGATCTGATCTCCTTTGTGAAATCTGAGAAAGGATCCTTGTGGATGGGTATTTACACTAAGACCAGAAGTATGCCTAGCAATTAACCAAGAGAAGAGTGGGGAGTACTGGGTTAAAGAGCATTTCAGCATCAGGAGCAGCTTGCTCAAAGCCCTGAGGCAAAGAAGGACTTCTCTGAGGAACAGAATGACGGTCAATGTGGCTGTAACAGAGGTGGTGGGGAAGAGTGGAAGGAAATGAAACTGGAGGCAAAGGCAGGGTCTAGCACAGGCAAGACTGTGTAAAGAAAATGATGAGAAGTCTCTGAAAGATTTTAACCAGAGAGTCAATGATAAGAATAGAGTTTTAAAAAGATCATCCAAACACTGTGTGAGGGAAGAGAAAACATGGACTGGAAGGCAGCAGGGATGGGAATGAGAAAGCACTGATTGAAATATTGGTGGCTTTGACTGGATGGTGGCAGTAGAGATGGAGAGTCATGAATGGATTTAAAAGACAAAATTGACAATGTATTGATTGGCTGGGTAGCCAGGGATGGGAAGCTGGTTTGGGATAAAAGATGTTCAGTTCAGCTTATTATAAACTGTATTTAAGGCATGTGTGTAGCATTCCAAGTAGGTGCTGGTGTATGGGCCCTGGAGCTTGGAGGAAAGATGGGCACCACTGCCACCTGAGACTGTTTCAGCAGTGTGGCCCATTTTCTTTGATCCTGGGTCGTCCTTATTTTGAAGATCCTAATGTTAGTTTCTCTCTGGCTTTTCAGGATTCCAGCCAGGCAATTCCTCTTGTGGTAGAAAGCTGTATCCGATTCATCAGCAGACACGGTAAGCAGCATTACAACCTTGCCCATATTTGTGCAAGGACTGGGGAGGACTTCCAGGAATTCTTTGTAGGGTAAGAATAGAGGTTGACTTCCCATCCTGACATGCAGAAAAGGAACGAAATCTTCTTTGTTCATATAATGTCTCCCTTCTCAGTATGGCCACACCTAGACATTGAGACAAAGACATTATATTTTGACCCAAAATGCCTGAGCCACTTACCACACTTCTTCTCTACCTTGAAAGTGAATTCTAAATTACAGCTGTCATGTATGTACAGTGAGGACTATGTGGTGGCAGGAAATTTGCCATTACTCACTGTCTTTGCACATGTAAGTATCTCCCACTGCACAGTCTTGACCCTTTTATAACATTGACTTACTGTACCGGACTGGTTTGGAAACACCTCTTTGTCTAATGTTTCACTGATTCTTAATAGCATTCAGTTTTTGTTCTGGTTTGGTCTCACGCGAGTCATCTGCCCCAAGAGCTCAGTTAGTAACTGGTCTTAAAGCTGTAGCCAACATTTGAGACTCTGCAGGCCTGACTCCTTCTCATACCTAAGTCAAGTCACACTATCTTCTGCTTGCAGAAAGCTTATGCTCATAAACTCTGTCCCTCACCAGCTACTGGTCTTGTTGGGCAGCATTTAAAGATTTAGATTAAAGGCCAGAGAACTGCTTTTTCCAGGGGTCAGAGTATTTGGAGAGCACAGATACATGATACCAAGCCATGGAGATTTCTAGGAATTGGGCATCAAATTTGTTTTTTCCCATCTCTTTTAGGAAAAGGGACAGAATAACTTGGAGTTAGGGGGTATGCAGACGACTGAATTCAGAGGCAGCCGTCTCTCTCTTTCCCCTTGCCTTCCCTTTTCATTATAAGCTGGGATATTGCGTGGTTCATTTTTGGAATAGTAATTATTTTAGTGTACGTACGATTTATCTCATTTTGATCAACTACAATTTGTTATCCTTATCTCTATTCACTTGAAGTAACAACATTGTATATCACTATTGAACAGTCCACAAATATTTATCAAGCCCTAATCAATGCTAGACACCATGCATTACCAAGTAGGAAAACAAAACAGGGATAATACTTTGTCTTTATATGGCTTTATGATATAGTTGAGAGAAAATAAATAAGCATGTGATTTTTAAATAAAAAGAGATAAGTTCTAGTAATTCAGAATAACACTATAAGAAATTTCACAAGATAGTAATGATGAATAGTCAAGCTGTTGGCAAAGATAAGTACAAACACAGTTCAGGAGAGGAGGAATTACTTGTGCCTAAGGGAACTGTAGGAGCTCTGGTAGCGTAGTGCCTAAGGCACTTGACTGCTAACCAGAAGGCTATCAGTTCAAACCCACTAGCCACTCCTCAGAAGGAAAGTTGGGCAATCTACTTCTGTAGTGATACCACCTCGAAAACCCAAGGAGGGGTCACTATAAGTCGGGTCCAACTTTATGGCACATAACAACACAATAACAACAAAGGAGCTGTGATGACATAGTATTTAAGACATTTGGCTGCTAACCAAAAGGTCAGTGGTTCAAACCCACTAGCCACTATGTAGAAGAAAAATGAGACAGTCTGCTTCCATAAAGATTTACAACCTTAGAAACCCTGTGGAGCTCTCTATGAGTCAGAATTAACTCATTGGCAGTGAGTTTGGGTGTTGGTTTTTTTTTTTTTTTTTTTCGAAAGGAGAATAGGAAGAAGAGAATTTGAACTCCTATTTATTGATCCATGCATTCCATTCATTCATTAATTCATTCAATAAATATATGTTGATTGTCCATTGTGTACCAAGAGAACATTTCTGTCTTCATGGACCTTACATTCTACTGAAGGACAGATAAACACAAATTAATTGATTAGTCAATGAATAATTTATAGTACGTCAGGTGTTGGTAAGTTTCATGCAGGAAAATAAAACTGGGTACAGGTATGGGGAGGGGACATTGTTTTAGATGGGTTGTTAAGGGAAAAGGCCTTTCCTAAAAAGGTGACATTTGAGCAGAGTCCTGTAGGCATTGAGGGATAAGCTACTTGATATATCTAGGAAAGAGTGTTTTGTGGAGAAGGAACCTCAAGAGCAGAGACACTGAACACAGACTGTGCTTGGCTTATGTGAGAAATAGCAGGCAGGAAGCCAGTGTGGCTGGAGTAGGAGCACTAAGGAGAATGATAGGAAATAAAACTAGAGGCCAGACTCTAAAGGCTAGGCCAACTCTTCTTGGCTAGGTGGTGGTTGAGTTTTATTCTGAGTGAGATGGGAAGCTGTTGGAAAATTTTGAACAGGGAGTGGTCTCTGTAAAGGATCCCTGGGCTGCATGGAGATAAGACCATAGGAGGAAGAGTAGAAGCAGGGAGAGCAGTTAGGAAGCCACTGTAACAGCCCAGGGAAAATGAGCCGGTGGCTTTGAACAGGGTGTTAGCCATGGAAGAGGTGAGACTTGGACAGGTTTCAGATACAGTGTCTTGAATGTACCTGCCCATGTTCCCATACAGGCACAGTGTGTAAGGCGACTAAAAGGTAGCATATAGCAGCTGCTCAAAAAAAAAAATTGTCCAGCTAAATTGAATTTTTTCCCAAATAGTACTTCAGGGTATTCTGAACTCCTAAAAATTATGGTTGAGAATGTTGTATATGTGCCTTTACTGGCATAGGGTCCATAAACCTTTGTCAGTCTCAGGCCATGGCCCACAAAATGCTGGGAGGTTTTATATGCTTACCATCTTCATAAGGAGCTGTGGTGGTATGCGCTGCCTAAGCCATTTGACTGCTAACCGGAAGGTTGGCAATGCAAAACCATCAGCTGCTCCATGGGAGGAAGGTGGGGCAATCTACTTCCATAAAGATATACTGCCTCGGAAACCCAGAGGGGTTGCGGTGAGTCAGAATTGACTCGATGGCGGTGAGTTGGTTTTTTTTTAAACCATCTTCATATCGCTGGGAAATAGATAATTATAGTCCCCATTTTAGAGAGGAGGAAGCTGAGGCTGATCTGTTAACAGTGGGTCAGGGTGACCCAAGAAGAGTTAAAGAAAGGGATATGAGGGATGACTGAGACCAAATCATGATTAAAGAAAACATTTTCATGAGAAAGGCAATAAAGTAATGTGAGCCAAGAGGTGGCTGTTGTAGTGATCGTTTAAAAAATTCTCTAGAAGAGCAACTTTTGGCAACAGCTGGATCCCACGCAAAATGGAAGAGTTTGTGCCACTTCCAAATAACTCATCTAGTTTTATGCTTTTATGTTTTATGCTTTTGTGTATGGGGATTTGTTTTATGCTTTTATGTTATAGTGTACACTAAGAAAAAGTTAAAAAAAAAAAAAGAATTATGGATGTGTAATGTTGGTCATGTGAGGACTGACCTGCATTATAATAAAAAAGGCAACTGGTTTTCTGTTTTACTTTCTGGAAACTGACTTTGGTTTATTCGTATTCCTGCTTTTAGAATCATCGCATTGTTGTTGTTGTTGTTATGTGCCGTCG